AAAAATAGTATAATCTGCTATAGAGATTCCACAAAAAACTAAAAATTAAAATTCCATTTGACTCAACTATACCTTTCCTAGGTATACTTCCAAAAGAGTACAACACATCCTATTACATAGATACATGTACATTCATATTTATAGCAGAATAATTCACAGTAATTATCTTCTAGAAACAACCCAGATGACCATCAACAAATGAATGGGTAAAGAAAATGCGGTATATATACACAATGGAGTTTATTCAACATAATTTTACCCAGGATGAATTTGAGTCATTTGTAGGAAAACAGATGGCTCTGGAGACATAATACTAAGTTAAATAAGTCAGACACAGAAAGTCAAATATTGTATTGCTTCTCCTATATGAGAAACCCAATTATAAACAAATTATATAAGTACCAAGAGCTGACTGATCGCGCCACTGGAAGCTAAACAAATTAGAGTAAAAAGATGCAGACTTTTAGAGTAGACAAAGGGGGTCAGGAAAGTGAGGAAGGGATATGGTGGGGAAGGTAACAGGAATTGAAAGTGATTAAAATATGTTATATACATAATAATTCCCCAAAATAAATGCCAATATCATGTATTGCAAACATACACTGATTAAAAAAAGAAAAATGACAAATTCAAAAAAATTTTCAAATTGTTTTTTGTGATACTTGGGATTGAACCCTGGGCCTTTGTACTAAGCTACATCCCCAAAACCTTTCATTTTTAACTTGAAAAAGGGTCTCCGTAAATCACAAACTTGACCAGGCTAGGCTAAAATTGGTGATCTTTCTGCCCCTGTCCTTCAGAGGATCAACTGCTGAGATTACTAGCATGTACCACCTCACCTGGCTTGGCTTAACTCTCCTTAGCTTTAATTCTATGCATACTTTACTATTTTGACTATCTTTCCTAAGTGCAAAACTGAACACACAACATGAAAACATTTGTCCAAGAAAAATACAGAAAATGGTAATGTTCCAGATCTTGCACTGCATGATCCATTTACAGTCTGAGGATCTCCTTGAACTTTCAGTAGCAAGATTAGATAGTGGCATGTTCCAATGAGTCACCAAGCTTTCCCCATCTACCTAGAGAGGAAGCCCCGTTTGTTCTGCTTGGATCCAGGACCAATAAATTGTTCTTCCCTTATCACTTCACATTGTCTTCCACTTTCCCTCCCTCAACGCCTATTTTTTTTTTTTTTTGGTCTCTCTGGGGAAGTTTCTACCTATTAAAGCAAATTTTATGTTGTTTTCCATTGCACTATTTAAAATTTATCATCCAACAATTAACACACAAACACATCTCAATTTCATGTCTTCCAAAATTGAAACTGCTCAAAGCTATAACTCAGTTTACAGCTTGTCTGTAAATTACCTGAGACCAGTTATTATTGCTGCTGAGTCATGTGGCCTATGTCTTAAATACATTTTGATAAACACCGGATAGACAGAGAAAAGGCAAATCTCATTACCTAAAAACTCTAACTAGATAAACTGCAGAAGTACAATTATATTTGCTATTTCCAAAACTGAGCAAGTTTGTACTGTGTCAATTTGGCTAAGCCAGAAATACTTTTCCCAGAATTCCTTTCTCTGTACAGTTCTTAGCTAGGCCTTTCTATAGGACTATTTTGCATAAGATCTGAAAGGCAGACAAAAGCAGCAGCCATTCTTGCATGCTGGAAGTCAGCGTAAGACCAAGGACTGTGCCCAGTCAGACACACTGCCACTGACCTGACCTCACCTCATCAATAGTGAGCAACAGCCAAGGCCATGGTCTCTCCAGCTTCAGTCAGTGTGCTCTTTCCATATCCTCAGATCGTAACCTGGGCATATGTGAAAGGCACCAGTATATCCGACAGGCCACCTCTCTGACTAAGGTAAGCAACCATCAGAGACAGGTGCAGGTTCCAGTTTGAACTCATGGGTGCTGGTCTGGCACAACAAATTCCAGTTTCCCTTTAAGAATTCTTCATCCTTGCTTTCCTCACTTTATGTCCATCTTCCTTTCCCAATTTAGTAAGAAGGGCAGAAGCAGAGCGAGTGTAATCTATTCTGGGAAATCGTAGCCCATTATTTTTGTTGTATTCTCCTTATTGGAAGAAAGTCACTGGGTTCTGCCTATACTGATGAAGAAGAGATTATAAAGGGCATGTCTACTGTAAGCAGGGCCCATGGGAAGTCACTTTGATACTTCCTGCCTCCTTTGTCAAACAGAGCTCTGAAGCACTTGTAAGCATGTGCAGTGCACAACCTCCCTAAGGACTAGAACTGCTAGCTAGGCATCGTGGCAGGAGGCTGAGGCAGGACAATTGCAAGATGCAGCCTAGCCTGGGCAACTTAGTGACTTAGTGAGACTCCTCCTGTCTCAAAAAATAAAGTGGCTGGAGATGATGCTTTGTGCAAAGACCCTGAGTTTAACCCCCAGTACTAGAAAAAAGACTAGAACTTCTAAGAATATTAGGAGAATTTTCTCACAGCATCTTTATAGAAAAGATTTGGAAACAATGGCTTATGATGCATGGAGTAGATTATGAACTCATACATGGGAAACTCATGAAGCTTTTAAAGATTATCCACTTGGAATAAAGACACAGAGACAGGTTCACTGAAAGGAAGCATTACTACCATCCAGTATTTACAGGCAAGAAAGTGGCAAAGAAATCCAGGTAGCTGCGGATATTGGCTATATCTTCTGGAAAAGGAAGGATGGCCCAGAAGGTACAAACAAGGTTGCAAATGGCAAAGCTAAGAGCTCTGAATGCCTCACAAGGACCAGCACCAAGAACTAAGCAGAGAACAGCTACGAGACTACAGACCAGTGCCCTCTCTGTACCTCTGTTTGCCGCTCCTCTAATGCAAGTATCTGCTGTGGAAATCCTTGTTCATGTCGTCACTGAGTGTTCCGCATGCTTATGTACTTACTCAGCAGGCTCTCAGACCTATGAGAATAGACCCAAGGAATCGGCTTTCCACACCCAAATTGGATTTAATGACAGGATCTTGGATCTTAAGCACAAGCCTGATGATATGTTTAGAGAGATTCTTGAGGGGGAAAGAACTTATTTTGTAGATCATATTAATGTGTGATCAGAAAGTGGATTGTGGGGCCAGGGATATGGCTCAGTGGCACAGTGTCTGCCTGAAAAGTGCAAGGTCCTGAGTTCAATTCCTGGTACTGAGAGAGTGAGAGAGACAGAGACATGAAAGAAAGAAAGAAAGAAAGAAAGAAAGAAAGAAAGAAAGAAAGAAAGAAAG